TATATGTATGTATATGTATGTATGTATAAGTCCATATATTTGTATATAGAAGTACATGCAAATATCATGATGTACAAAAATGTAGTGAAGCAAGGAAGCAAAGAATAGTATTGAATTCAATCTCTTCTCGGAATGTGTGCATAATACCTCGTTCACATGCTTGACGAACACATACTCACGCCATCAACAACAACAAAAACTACCGGCAGCAAGCCCACACACACACTTTGGGATAATCGCATAACATTGATCCAAAACAAATATCATTTACTTGATCTCCTTCGAGCTCATCTTCTCAAGTTTCTCAGCCTCCTTCGGGTCCGCCAATATATCCAGCACCTTATTATCCGGCCAGATACTCGGGGTAACCCAAGTGAACGTTTTAGCCTCGACTGTAGCATCTTGTGTCACTTGTTTTGCCGCTGTGGCATCTGTGCTAGGTGCGACTTCTGACATGATTATACTTTTTATGGCAAGTGAATCGCCTGGTGGGTTGGTCTTTGTGTGTCGACGAGTGTTTATTAGTTCAGATATTATGTATTAATGTAAACTCTTTGGTTGCAAAGCTCTATTACGCACACTGGAGGGTCCCGAGGGAGCATTAAAAAAAAAAGAAGCAGCACACGTCCCGGCAAGTTCAACCACTTTTTGCTCTGTTTTAACTTTTGTCCAATACGATTGGTGTATTGTTTTAACTATCATTGTCCACGTGTGTTTCTAATGTTGCAAACCGCGCCAAATTAAATATAATAATTGTGCCACCATATTTTGAATTCCACCCTGATCCTATGATAGACCATAAATACATATGTATAGATAAACAAGTTGAATGAACTGGCTCAGGCAAATGGAGAGATAGCAATAAAAGTACATCAGTTTATAGCCCAGTATTGTACACAGTACATATACGAACACATATACAGGTATATATATATATAATATTCAACAGTGCAACGAAAGTACGCCCGGCAAAATGCCAAAGAAATCCAAGTCTCCCGTAGTACCCACTCCAGCTGAAGTCAGTGACATCAAACGATTAGAGGAAGAATTCTATGAAGGTGCTGAGAATGCCAACAACCTGGTTGATTTGCGGGGCTTTACATCGCATGAGAACAATGTAGTGTCCATGCGTGCGTTGGAAAGCTTACATCGCATATTCATGAAGCTGATGAGCGAGGGAATGTTGACGAAAATTGGGAACAAAAAGGTACGTGTAAAACGGATGCTTGCTTTTGTGAGCACTGTATGTATATCTGCCCATTAGCAAATAATTGTGGAGCAAAAGCAAATATATACAATTGTTTTTATCATAGTGGGTAAGTTAAACTCTTGTTTAAAGCATTTAGCAACTTTTTGCTGGAGAAATGTTGCTCAAGATCGGCAATGATAGTTTCCGCCCAGTAAGCCACAACATATATATATATATATATATATATATATATATATTAATTTACTACACATCTATATATATATATATAACATATATATATATATATATGTGTGTGTGTGTGTGTGTGTGTGT